AAAGGAAGGAGTAAGGGACACAGTCCAAATCTGCGATTATCCCACTGCACTTCTGCCCCTGGCCAAATGTGTGTCAGATGAGGGACAGGATTTAGGGAGGCAGGGAGGGAGGTGGTGGAATGGGATGAGAGCTCGAGAGTGGGGAGGAGGGAGCTATGTTTCTCTGCGGTGTTGATCAGAAATGATTAAAAGAAACTTAATGGCCGGGTCTGAAAGAAACCAAATCCACAATCATCTATGATTAAATGGAATCACACAGACTCAGATGACTCGCTCTGCCTGAAGTGGAGCAGAATGCTTCCCAGACTTGTTTGCACCTGAAGTAGAACAGATATTCTTGTTTCAAGCAACATCACTGCATATTTATCAGGAGTTTCATGTTGGGTTCTTCAACAAAAACATTCTCTACATCATAAATAATGGACTGGATATAATTGACATGACCTCTTCTGTCCCTCATTGGGCATGCAATTTGTATCAGATTGTGTCTGGTTCTGTGTGGATCTCATGTAATGGAGTGTACATACTTGTTAAAGAGGTTTAGGCCAATGCGGTAGTGCCTCTTGCGGATTATGTCATTGCTGAATGCAGGTGAGTCCCAGCTGTTGCGAGTCTCTTTGTGGTACGTCTGCTTGCTGAGCGTTTGCTCCCTCAGGCTGTCCCTGGACGAGGACTCTGAGCTGCAGTTGATGGTGTCATTGGAGTTGGATGTGCTGTTGATGCTGTCATTGTCGCCGTCAGAGAAATCAGACTCTGACTTGCTCTGCCGGTTTGCAGTGCCGTTAATGGCCAGATGGGCCTCCAGTTGTCGTGGCCGATGGCGGGTGGCATCCTCCTCTCTAGAAGGCCCTCGGGGTGGCAGGCTGTGGCTGATGTGTTTGGGGCTACTCTGCTGGTTGCTGAGGCTCCGATCGTAAGCGTTCTGTCTCTTCAAAGAGCTGCGGTCAGAACGATCACTCAGGTCCACCGAGCTGTCGCTCGGGGGCTCAATGGTCAGTAAGGGTAGGTGGTCTACCCGCAAGCGCTGCTCTTGGCACTCCAGAGATGGTGTACTGCGGCAGCTGGTGTCTGTGTCCCCTTTCTCATCCTTATGAGCCAGTGACCAGTAGTCCTGGGAAGAGTTGAGGGAACGCTGACGCAGGTCTGATTCCGTGCTGGAGGGCCGGTCTACAGATTGAGACAAGGGCAGTGGGGGTGACAGTTCCTCTTCGTCGATGTAAAGGGTGACATCGCTGTAAGACGCCGTCATCTCGTCCAGTTTGCGGTGTTCTGAAGGACCATGGGAGGGTTTCACCTGGCAGCTGACTTCTCTGTCCATATCCTGGTGGCCTCTCCCTGGCTCCGACTGGTTTTCGTCACCATGCAGACTACGACAGTTTAGAGCATCATCTATGGACTCAGCTAGAGATTTGACCTGCCTAGAGAAGGCATCTTCTAGTTCTGTGATAGCGTCTGTGAAATCGCTCTGTGTAGTGGGGGTCTTGGCCTGCATGCCCATTTCCCCACCATGCTCTGACTGCACCAGTGCTCCGATTTTGGTGCCGTCATCTGTTAGAGAGACCTGCTTTCCCTCGAAGTAGGAGCTGTGGACTTTTTCAGGTCCTTCGAAGGAAAACTGCATTCTCATATTGGATAGGACGATCCGTCTGGACATACGGTTCTCAGACATAGAACTTCTAAGACGCTCAAAGTTCTTGTTCATCTGGTACTGGCGGAAGGCTGTCTGGATGGTGCGGGCTGCATGCCGGGTTATGAAACGCCCACCATATTTACGCTCTAGCATCTCCACCTGCAAGGAAGAGAAAGAAAGCTGGTGTCATAAATGGATCTGAGAAACAACTAGGAACTGTCTAAATAGTTCATTAGCTGCAGTCTTCTGGCAATCCAACCTCGGAAATGTTCTCTGTAATGGCGCAACTGGTGATAGTGATCCTAGGTGAAAAAAGGCATAATGAATGCATACAGTATTCTGTACTTTGGATTATAGGGCAAAAGTTAAACTGATACTTCACCCAGGAGAAGAATATTTTTGTATCAAATACTCACACACAAAATATTTGAGTGAGAAACTTCATTCCTGACCTCGGAAATAGTTTCAAAACTTAAGGTCCACTTACTAGATTTTCAACAATTTTTTTCAACAACATCTCACAGTCCTCATCAGCAAATGGAGTTTGCTAAGTTGTCACAGAGATGGCTCAGTTAGTTGCCAAATGAAGGATAGTTAATTGACCTTGGTTTAAGATTATTTTGTCAAACTGACTGTTTATAGTTTACTTCCAAGGCAGCTGTGGCCAGTTTTATGTCTGTTACAATGGATTCAAAAGGCAACAGGTTTTCAATGGCAGAAAGTCTTCTCATCTGTATTCTCATTCTATTCCAAGCAATCATAGTTGATACATTTTGTTTGGTGTATCACTTATCTCTCTAGAAAATTACTGTGGACAAACTATACTGTTTTCATCTGGCTACAAAACTAAGACTATTACCTTGGAAACATGGATTACACAGAATGAAGAATGATGCTGCTTTCTTATCTGCTTTTGCAATGGCAAAAAATAAATAAAGAAAATAAAACCCAATAAGAGTGGTGGTGACATTTAAAAATGACTGGAATTGGGGGTTTATTAGACTCAAATAGACCCCCAGGGAAGATGGATAATGTTGAATAATGATGGAAACCCTGTTTGACTGATAAATGGTAATGACCCAAATAATGATGAGGAATTGCTGTTGGAAGAGCTACCACAAACAAGATTTAGAGAGAAAATATGATTATGGTTGGGGACTGCAGTGCTACTGGATAGCTTAAAAAATGACCATTAAGAGACCACAAATTAAGATGTAGTAAAGACTTACTATAAAATAAATAAATATAAATTGATTAAAATGGGTGCTGCAATATTTAATTATTTTTTATTAAAAGAGAGATGGACAGTACTATATGTGAAAGGAATCAGTCAGGTGTATATTTCATAGTGTACACTAAACTTAAATGACTGAGAATAGATCATTACACTAAGGTGATATACCTATAATTAGGATGGTGTCCAGGGCTGTTTTATATTACCTCCACTCTCTGCCCTGTGCCTTTTACACACTGACACAGTTTTCCTGCTACGGACTCCTGGAGTAGAATGACACTAATCATGTTTCCCTGAACCACGTCAGGGCCATGGAGCCCAGACGACTTGCCACAAGGAACATAGACCATGACAGTGAGTCTTACTCTGGGGCTACAGCCTTCTCCGCTTAACAACAGGTCCAGTGTCTTTCCCTCACAGACACAGCTGATATGGCCACAAAGCCAAACCAGGCTACTATTATATGACTTTTATTTGACATGTTTGAAAAAACTACAGCAGGTAATATAATAACTTTCTTGAAAATCGATACAATATCACAAATATGCAATATTTTCTTACACACCCCAATTTTTATCGTGCAGGTCTGTGTGTCAGTATGTGTAATACTACAATCACAATCAGCCTCTCATTAATTGGTGGACCATCTGTAATTATTTGGGTCTGTTTGAGTTTTGGATCGAGTTCATTATTCCCAGGTCTATTTTGGTCCAGTCCAAATGTCCATGGGTTCTTTTTGGATCCGGTCCTATATATTGGACCTGTGAGGACCTCTACTTTGCAGCTCCTATCAAATGTACAACTGGGCATGAAAAAGCAAGATATGTTTAAAAAAAAGGTTGTTGTGGTCTAACTGTAGGTCAGCAAACATATTATAGTAAACTAAAAACAAAACTAAAAACTAAAACTGGGTGTGAAAACACATTGTAGTTTACTGAAATAAAAATAAAAACTAGACTTACTAGAAAACTAATTGAAACAATATTATGTACTTACATAACTAGAAAAATAAATAATATATACATATATATTTAAATAAAATAAAAATATAAAGGAAATGTCTTTGCCATTTTTGTCAAATGTGTCACCACAACAAGCATTGGTGTATTATGCTTATTGAGACAGGGATGTCAGCATGACTGTGACATGACTGTGAGTTACATTAAGTTTAAATCTTTTGAGTGGATTTACAGCAGTGAAATAGATGTTTTGCTCCATTTCACAGGAGCACTGTTGGTAAGATGTAGATTAAACATCGTCTATTTGTACTGTGATATCTTGGTGTGGGTAGCTCCTCTCGAATTTATATAACAATGGACTGACTGGATCGGTCTATGCAGGTCAAGTATTATAGTAGGAACAAATTCATTTCATTCATTGTATGCTGTTTTGAACATGTGCCGCTGGACAGAACTAGTTAAGAAACCATAGTAACATATAAAAAGCAGCTGCTGGGGGTTGTTGAGAGTGCTGAAACTGAACCAAAACAGTATACAGGAAACAGGCCGGAAAACAGTAAGCTAAAATATACTAAAATGCTCTGTAATGTTGAGAGTAACGGCAGAGTTGGGTGATCATTCTCTGAGGGTTTGTCAGTAAAAGCCACACATTTCATGTTATACATAGAAATATCTGTCCAATTGTTAATATGAAAATATTGATTATTGCAGCTTTAAAGATTTCAAGCAAATAAAAATGAATTCCAAACTAAAAATATCATTGAAGTTATAGTTTTTGCATTCTGTCTGATATAATGCATAGGGCCATTCATATTATTTTGCATACACTTTCTATATCATGATATATACAGTATCTGTTGTTTTTATTAATATTGTTTTTATCACCCAGGCCTATATTAGGTGTTTACAGATGAAAGTGTCCCAGTCTTTGTGTGCCCCCCCTCACCTGCTTGTCCTGTAGGTCTGATGAGAGCTCATAGCTCTCTGACAGCGAGCGGGAGCGCTTGATAGCCTCCTCCTCTGCCTGCTTGCGGAGGATAGACTGGGAGTGCTGGAGCTTGGGTCGGCGGGGCCGCGGGTGGCCGGGCAGGAAGATGTGTCCGTATAGCTGACTGTCCAAGTGGTCGGGCCCTAGCCCACCACCGCGGGTCACTGGGATGCAACCGTAGCCGCTGCTGGGGTCCACAGAGGCGCCCACCTCGCTGCCTGGAGCATCACCTTCCACACTGCAAAACACACAGAGCACACTGGGTTAGTCTGCTGAGTCATTTTCCTGAAGGCATGCACTGCTTTGTGTTTTAGTAAGAAGCACGTGACAGATGGGAAAAGTGAACTTTGATACTGCTGGCAGGGTATAAATACGAGTGAGAGAATTTATAGCAGCAGTCTGAGTGCTTCCTTCTCTTTACACATTCCATTCACAATGCAGAAAATACCTCAAGTTAGCCAAAGCAACTAAACACTGCACTACAATACCTTTATTAGAGGAAATAAAGTGCCTATGAATACATTATGAACACGACATTCAGCAGCTCAGTCTTTGAGTGAAAACAGAGTGACACAATGTCAAGAGTGATTAAAGCGTGTGAATTGGTGCCTTTATTATTAAGATCAATAGGAATCTTTGTCAGCTCACAGCAGCACCAACCTGGACAGCTGATTGGATAAACCCAGGCGGTGCTGAGCAACGGCCGCTAAATGTCAACTGCAGATCTGTTCACTTCCTCCACACCTCTTACACTGTTGCGATTACCTGAGAGGACTAAATGCACTGCGCTGTGGAACATAGACACAACTCAATGACTACTACCTTCAAATGGCTCAAAGTTGTTTTTACTGGGAGACCAAAACAGCCAGCTAATCTGAGTTTATAAACTTAATGAACAAAAAACCTTGATTCTGAATAAGCCTTTTTCTTTGTACAGAGGCCCATATAAGAAGACTATAATGCATTTTATACATTTCAATTCAATGCCTTAAGAGCCAGCTCAGCAAACAGGGACTGCTGACGCGAGAACAAGGAAGGCATCTTAATAAGTCCTAAACCAAAGTGAATACACATTGTCCACTCAAGACGCACATTTTGAGCACACAGCCACAGTGATAACATTCTAGTGATTGCTGTGAATCATATAATAAACTGCTCAGATTACTTCTACCAATAACACGTGACACCCAAAAGATCTGAGGGCAGAGGTAGGGAGTAACTAGTTACATGTAACAGCCTTACATAAATAAATTACGGCCAACGAAAAGTTCAACTTGGAAGCGGAGAAACACTGTTTGTATCCTTTTCTAACAGGGTAAGTAGTAATCTGTGTCTCTGTCTGTTTGTTTCTCTGTGGTTGGATACAATACATGAACTTCATCTTATGGTAAAGCAGCACTATTACATTTCAAAAGTAAGCTTTCCAACACTGCCTATAAGATGCAACTCCACAGATGCTAATTTATTTGCTAATATTACTGAATTATTATTGTTATTATCGTTATTATTGTTGTTATTATTGTTGTTATTATTGTTGCTACGGTTGCTGTTGTTGCTGTGGTCGCTGCTCGTCCCCCATCGTTGTTGTTGTCGTCGTCATCGTCTTTGTGTCCATCATTATCAGTCACTACTATTAGTGTAGTTGTTGCTACTGTCTCTCTCTTACCCCAACTGGTCGAGACAGACGACGACCCACCTAGAGCCAAAGGGTCTGTCCTATTAAAAGGCAGTTTTTCCTTGCCCCCGTCACCAAGTGCTTGCTCATGGTGGTACTGTTGGGTCTCTGTAAATAATGTTATAAGGAGTTTGGTCT